CAGGGAGAGGCACTGGAATTTGTGGAGCGTTTTACGTATCTTGGAAGTTGTATTAGTTCTGACTGTAGTGTGACAGATGAGGTGAATGCATGAATCTGCAAGGCTCGGGCCGCGTTTGCTAACTTGAGACACCTATGGCGTCAGAATGGTTTATCCTTGAATCTGAAAGGACGTGTGTATCAAGCTACAGTACGGGCTGTTTTGTTGTATGACTGTGAGACTTGACCTATTCGAGCAGCGGATCTGAGACGTCTTCAGGTGTTCGACAATCGTTGTCTCAGAACCGTAGCTCGTGTGGGTTGGTGTCGGCGAGGCAGTTAGAAAGCGTGTTTTTGTTTGTGTTACGGGTACTTCCATTGAAGAATGTGTCCAGCACCAGAAGCTGCGTTGGTTGGGACATGTGTTACGCCCGCCGAACCATCTTTTGCCGAAGAGAGTGCTGTTTTCCATTCCCAACTCAGAGTGGCGTAAACAGAGAGGTGGCCAACCCTTGACTTGGCAGAGGAGTATGAAGGAGATCACGAAACGCTTGGGTGCTGTCGGTGCTACTCGCCTTCCAGGGTGGGGATCGCGAGATCCTCACTGTGCCTGGTTTGAGACACTACAAGATATGGCTGCCAACCGATGTCAGTGGCGTTCTTGTTGTCAGTTTCTATCCAGATTTCCTGAGTGAATGTCTGGTGGTGTACCCACCCCAAAAGTCCCCATCCCATCCACCTTTATTCTTTTCTTCACAATAAGGCTTTCAAATAAGTCATGGTTATACGGCAGTGAAGCATCGATGTTGAAATGTCATCCTGGATGATGATGATGATGAACTACAGTTCGGGAAAAACCAGAAGCTGACTCATCTTACTTCATGGCGTTTTATCACTGAAAACCGTAGCCCACATGTAAACGATGTAGACTAGTTATCGTCCTGACAACTTGGGAATCGGGTATCAATTACGCGAAGGGGTTCAGGGCATGGAAATGAACCTGTAAACGTTCTGCCTGTATCCTACAACAGGCCAAAGAATAAGGTCTGTTAACCGCTGAAAAGAGAATGTGTATTATCGCGATGTGGCTGTTTGCGCACTTCTATGACCAGCTTTGACACTGGTAGATTTTCTCATGCCAGAATGGCTGGTGGATGGAGGTGTGATGAAAACTGTAAAATGATCATCCACGAACACGCACGGCGACTTGTTGCTTGAAATATCATACTACGGTAGTAGGAAGCCAGCATCCATTCGTTACCTTGCGGCCAGGCTTTTGGGCAAATGACTTTGGTTGAGGACCCTAACCGTTCACCTGTCTAGGTATGGGTTCCCTGATAGTAACCCATGCCACGTACAACCGTGTACGTCTTTGCTTCACTTGTGGCTTCAAAATGGCACATCACTGGGTCTCAACGGTCGCGTGTACCAGACTATTGTTGTATGGTCGTGAGACATGGCCTCTGTAGACAGATAATGTGAGGCGTCTTCAGCATTTGACCACCGGTGTTTCAGAAGTATCGCTGGTGTCAGATGGCGAGGTAATTAGAAAACCGAAGCAGGTACTTCATCTGCGGGAAAGGCCAGCACCATCAACTGCGGTGGTTTGGAAATGTGCTGAGCATGCCAAGACACCGTCTATCGAGATGAGTGTTCCCTCCAAGCCTCCTTCAAAATGGCGGAAACAGCGAGGTGGATAACGCATGACTTGGCAGAAGAGTGCAAAAGAGATCATGAAGAGTTTGACTGTTGTTTACATGGTACGCTTTCCACGGTGGTGTCCCCGTGACCACCACCCCCTGAGCCTGGCTGGAGACACTACGAGAAATGGCGACTGACAGATGTCACTGGTGATTGTGCCATCAGTTTCCCAAATTGTCTGGTTGATCGCTTGAAGTTGTGGGAGCCTCAGAATACTGGTGATAGACAAGCACCAGATCCCCTCTATCACCCACTCTAGCCTTTTCTTTTCACTCTAAGCCTTTAAATATGATAAGATAACCTTTGTGGTTACGCCGAAGCAAAGCATCAGTGTCAACACTGACGTTGCTGTCTCTGATGATGATAACGATCTGTTGCATACATTTAATACAAGGGTCTGTCGCTACCTAAGAGCCAACTTTATCGGCGACCTCACCCTTCCAAAGCAAACGAGAGCAACACTGCGCAGTTTGTGTGCTCGACTTAAATTATGGTTAGTCAACTATTAGCAACAACAACAAGGGTAGGACCAATAAAGTCGATAAGATCTATCCAATGAACACCGGCGAAAAAGGGTGCGAGTTCGAAGGCAAACTCTCAAAATTGCTTTATCGACTCCAAGGTGGAAAGAAGATTGCTGCTAACAATACTTTTGGAATGTGCGCGGTAGGTTATTGAATTTGGAAAAGATCATGCCCTCAACAGACGAAACGGAACGATACGGTATAAGTTCGGTGTCAATAGACAACAATGCTTTCTACATATAACTGAAATGAAACGAAAAGATAGGGTTAGGCAAGTGATGTCGACTGCCACTGAACGGTCTGATTAGACTCATTGTAACAATGGAAAGTGAGCAAAGCGAGTAAAGAAACTTACCTGACAGACAAATCCAGCACCCATGCTGAAAAGCATCATAGTGATTGGGGCAATCCAACCCGATTGAACCATGGCCCGACAAAAGGCTGGAGAGCGTGACAACGAGACTGCGGTCCCAGCCGCGATTGCAGCGCCACCAGCCAAATAGGCGTATGTCATTTTGACACGCTGACGTACATAGTCTGGCCAAACAGTAGCTCGGTCGATTGCAGACATAGCATCAGTACTGGAAGGCACCATGCTTAGTCCATAGTAGCACAGACCACCCAGGCCAATAACCGCAGCCGCCGCAACAGCCATGCGACCAGTATCCAGAGCTACATGACAAGGGAATAGCAGGGTAGCATGATCTAATACTACAAAATGGATTTGATACAATGACAACATGAACTGAACAGACCTAAAGTGCCTTCTAACCCGAAAACCTTTACAGATGATCGATTTACGACGGAAAGATACCCTGACGGAGGGAAAGATAAGTGATTCTTATGGGAGCTGACCCATGAGAAACCAAAACATCCGTGACAATCACCAGTCGCACGAGTAATGCGACACGGTAAAAAGAGAAACATCGTATGCATTGGTCTAATGAAGAAAGACATAAGCATAACGAGAATAACGATAACGTCCACTCTTACTAAAAGACGAAATGGTGCGGCCTCCGAATTTTAATGAACGAAGTGTGGAAAGTCCGCATAGCTAAAGCTGCATAGCACACGTTAGAAAGAAGGCAGACCATCTGGACTACTTCGCGTTTTTCAAATACCGCAGCTGCGTGTAACAAGCAACTTACCCATTTCCGGTGCAGCCTCATCAGCCCGGGCCTTTGCTTGACTTCGGCCGAATCGAGTTCGCATTGAGGTAAAATTTATTGGAGACCATCGGAAACAACGTACGACTGAAACCTGCGACGGGCGAGTGAATGTTTGTCGACAACCCCGATCAGCAAGCTGTAAAACTAGGCGACTGCCTCGTAGGCACGATCTCGCAGCAATCATTGTTGCTAAAAAATAGGAACAAGAAAAGCTTGGATCTACTGCATCTGAACTGTGTGTCGCCAGGCTTCCCAGATAAAGTGTTAACCTGCTAACAATGAAAAAGCACCCGGCACATGGGAACATGAAGCAGTAAGAAGGGGGGTTGTATAGATCCGGGCGCGATCCGAGTGAAGTTCGCTGAGAAAAAACCATTTGTGGTTATTAAGCAGCTGTGAACAATCAGCGGTGGTACTACCAAGATACGCTGATTTCTGACCCGGCCAGCTGACCTCACGTAAAAGGTCACACACTCTAAACGACGCAATCGCGGCAAGTTCCGTATGACTGGCATCCAAACATCCACCAGCAGCTCTGTCAAACTGGCCCACGATCGAGCACGAATTGGTGCGTTTCACAAGGCTGTCGCCATTTTACTCCTGCAAGGTTACAAGAATAGCGTATCAGTCACTACCAACTTTAGACCACGGCCAAAGGTACGTTGGTCCCAGCTGACACAGTTTCAGTCGCCGAAAAGCGGGAGTCGCGAAGCCAAGTACCACCAAGCATTGGAGGCAACGGTGTAGATCGTCCAGGCCATATATCTTGTCACAGAATGATATCTCGCACGGAATTTCCGTATTTGATGAAGGGCTGGTGTCGACGTTCCCCTCAGGCTAGTTGGGTTCTCCCAGAGTCTGTGCTAAACCAGATCAGCTGCACTGTTCTTTAAAGTGTTTATCCCATCGTTCAAGACGAAGATTCTGCAACTAAACTTCTACTTCATGTTCATCACAAATCGCCTTGTTGACGACCGCGTTTTCTTGGTCAGTTGATCGGAATAGGTTAAGTAGGGCGCACGATATTTTACGTCGAAAACCTCCATCTCCTGGGCCCTCGCAATCCACCAGCGTTCTGTTATTTTTCGGGCTCTGGATTATCCGCCGCTTGAGAGACCTGCAGGCACCATCACAATGGGCGGTTGCTGGCACTGGCCTTCCGACAGGACCGAGATCTGCAACAATATCCAGTGTTCATCTGGTCTAGCCGGATGGTTTGGGCAGACTGCTCAAGTTTAGACAACGGCTTCTTTCATTAACTTTCATCCATCATCTTCATAACCGTGCGCTTACAGTAGTTTTCCTGAGACTTTATCGATGGTAGTGAGCTGCTGAAACTCATCGATGCTGGTGAACGGAACCGCATGCGTAATCCCGAAAGTAGAATGATAATCGAGCCCGCATAATGGCGCGATCGGAGGAAGGATAGTCTTAAACGGAGGCTCCATATCGGCAAGTGATAGTCAAGTGATCCAAGTGGGCCCATGAATAAAGTGCGGTTGGTGGGTACCTTTGCCAAAAGTTCGTACTGGCGAGGAACAGATGGTGTTGAGCACACTAGTGAAAAATTCCCTCCCCATTATCCGTATGCTCAGTATCGACTGCAAATCTCCCACCTAACTGTACTTCTTCTGGGCTTAGTTATCCTTAGTTAGTTCTTGTTGCTAACCAAAGCAATGGTGACAGGTCTCGACAAAGTTTATCTTCCTTAGCTCCAGAAGTAACTGCAATTCCTAATGCGAAGTCTCCCTACCTGAATACACACTGCCCCGGTGTGACTGCTACGTTTGCAGAGCTGTTATGACCCTCGTCACGAAGAAACCCGACATTACCGTGGCGTGACGGTGTACCTCCGTGATCCAGTGAGCTACACTGCTGTGTCCGTGCGGCATTCAGTCTTTCATGTCGGGTTGGTCAATGGTTTTACAAGAATAGTAGTGCACTCGCATTTTCCTCAGACACCGTTGCCTTGTGGTCGGCCTTTGAGTCGAATGCATTAGTCGAGGCCCCTACTCGTCACTTACAAACCAGGGTAAGGTGCTCGAGTGCTTTACGAATCTTGTGAGACTTGGCATGTTCTGGTAGTGGAACTCAGACGCCGTCAGGTCTTCGGCAACCTTTGTCTCAAAACCATAGCTCGTATGGCTTGGTGTCAAAGAATTTGTAACGAGGCAATTAGAAAGTGAGTGTTCAGTTGTGCAACGGGGACATCCATTTAAAGATTGTTTCCAGGATCAGAAGGTGCGTCAATTAGGCCGTGTATTTCGTATGAGGAACCATCGTTTGCTGAAAAGAGTGTTATTTTCTGCGTCCATTTCGGAGTAGCTGAAGCAGAGACATGACCGACCCTTGACCGGATGGAGGGTTATGGAGAAGATTGGGAAACGTTTCGTCATCATCGACAGTATGACATCAGTGTTCAACAGTGATGCCCCGCTGCCGTACAAAAATTTATTTAGAAGCCTTGTTGTGAGGAAAAGAAAAGGTGAACATGAGAGACTTGGTGTTACTTTACTATATTCAGTTCGAGCTATCTACGTCTTCAGGCACTCGTTCAGGCAATCTGGATGGAGACTGACATGAACTCCATTGACATCGATTCGCAGCCACGTCTTGCAGTATCTCTAACTAGGCGGCGGGGATCCCATGGTCCAAATCCTGGAGGTCAAGTAGCACTGACAGCACCTAAGATTTTCGTAATCCCATTCATACCTTCTGCCAGATCAAAGGTTGGCCACGTCTCCCCTTCAGATGCTCCGAACTGGACGCAGAAAACTGTACTCTATTCGGCAAACGAAGGTTCAGCGTAAGAATTAAATGGCATAACCTACGCAGCTTTTGGCGATGGGCGCATGTTTTAGAGAAATACGGCTTCTTCCGATAGTACTTGCCTTCCAGGATGGGGGCAGCGTGATCCACATTTCTCTTGGTTGGAGACGCTGCAAAATATGGCTGCTAGCCAATGTCCGTGACATCTTGATATCACTTTCTATCCAGACTACTTGAATGAGTGTCTAAAGGTGTATGCACTTCGAAATGATTGTAGTAAGGTTATACTTTTTATTTTTTCTCCAAATAAATTTTCTTCCAAATAAATTATGGTTGTATGGCAGCGAAGCACCTGTGTTGGACATTGGTGTTATGCCCAGGTGTATGCACCTCGAAATGAGTGTAGTAGGGTTATACTACGTTCTTTCCCATCCATTTTTATTTTTTCTCCACAAAAGACTTCCAAATAAATTATGGTTGTATGGAAGCGAAGCATGCGTGTTGGACATTGGTGTTATGCTGTTGATGATGATGATGAGGTCAGACAGTTGCCACGACCCTACAAGCACTCATTAAAAACAGCCTAAAAGCACAAAAGTTGCTTCCGTTGATGGTGACATGAACCTAGGTGGGTAGACTAGGCACGACTGATGTCTGATTGGCTGGGGTTTTTGGATTTGGTAGGGGGTNGCCCTGAGCTTGAAAATTTTCTTCCTATGTCCTCGCCAGTAGCTGGGTCAACGGTAAAAAACCTGTTTGCCAAGCTTTGTTCAAACAGGGCGTAAGTAAGGATTAGGTCCCCTCGGAGGGGACGGTACTCCAGGGGATAGATGTTCTGACAACGGAGATCACTGCTTCAGAAATGACGATCGCAGGGTGTTCCTTCGCAATAACAAATTCCTGAACAGCGGAGATAGTTTGAAAACGTTGCACCCTCAAAATAAACAGCCCTGAATCAAAAATTGAACACATCGCTTCCGGTTACCGCTGGTGATTATCATGATGGAACACCAGCATAGATACGATCATCTATTTGTGTACTGATGCCTTTCATTGTGATTTTCAGGTTTACCCATCGTTCAGCCATTGATAAGCTAGTGGATCCGGAAATCAAACGAACTTACCAGAACCGACCTCTCGAAAGCCTGTCAGCTATTACCGACCAATAGGAACAGACATCCAAGGTGTTACTCAAGGCCGGAACCACAGTTTGCGGTACAACCCAGCCGATCTCTTCCAAGGATTGAATCTGGTCTCTTCCCCGCTTTTCCACGCTGGGTCAACCTTTGCTGTTGTTCTCTCGTTTCGTGTCCACTGTGAGTGTTGTGTACTCGTTTATATATCAAGGGTCGTTGAGGCATATGTGTTGGAGCGAACTTGTGACGTGGAAAAATAACAATGTGAAATCACATGGAGTCGCCTTGAAGCGTACTAACGGGAGGTGACCTTTATTCGGTCAAGGTTGCAGACAAGCCACGATGTTGTCGTGTGATGCTCGTGGTTGTTGGATAAACACGATAATGGACAGTCTATGTGGGAGTACTAATGAAATTAGTTCCAGGGGTAAGTAGACAGGAGGGTCGCCGCTACAAAGTTTCGGAAGCTATATATCCCTGATAGACGAAAGCAGACAGACAGTTGGGTTCAGGGTGCCAGTCCATGCTTTTGAGCCCCATCCAGATATCCTGGGGTCTCAGAATTGATAGGGAAGTATTCCACCAGATTTTTCTGCCAGGCTTATGTTTGCATCAGTAGAAAATGAATTTCGTGAACGGCAAAAATATAAATGTAGGTTGAAATGGATTATGGTTTGAGCACATAGACAATAAAACGCAATATCCCAGCGCAAAATTTTCATCCCACCCACAAAGGTTTCGCAGCTAAGGGCATTGTGCGGTTAATGGGCCCCTCACCGAATAGTTGACCACTGTGGAGTTTTGTACCTCTATTTTACTTCCATTGTAACACTACGTATTTCATCAATTGTACCATCGTTTTTTGTTTAAAGACGAAAAACTACAAAAACGCGCACTCGTACAACTTCACCTAATACAAGCGTGGTCACGAGCTTCGACTCTCTTCTGATTTCGCTCGCGCTTGCAGCGGTCATTCGCGAGTCTCATGCACTAACTCTGGTACCAAAACATTTTAGACATCTTCGGAATCTATTATATGTGGGAACTATTCGGAAGAAGACCTCTTGACCAACATAATTGGATTATTGTTTATTCGCTGACCTGGGCCAACGACGAACTATTTTAAAGAGAACAATTGTTAGTGAGTCTGTTCCATCTGACCTATTTATTTTTGTATACCCAACTTAGCGTAGTTATTTTCATTACTTTGCCACACACTCCTGGTAAACTAACTTATTGGGTATCCGGACCACTACACCACCTCGAATGTAGCACAGGGTAGCAATGGGAATGTAATGGACGAAAAGTTACATTGCGAACTAAACTAGTAATATAGTCATTGCAGGTAGTACCATAGTTTCAGCAGCTTAGCATAACCGGCTGTTGATAAAAGTCGTCGCACATTGGGCTGCGAATGAATGATTTATCAAACGGACAGCGATTTTGTTTTTGATGCCAATAATGAAGAGGGATTTGTTCGAAATAGCTCAAACTAATGACATTTAAGCTGTTCGTTGGATGTTGGCGTGATTTCGGCACGTAAAATTATATCTGTGACCCGAAATGCAAACTTTGTAAGCCTTCTGACCAGCAATTTGTGTTGATCAGGTAAGAAACTCGTAGTATTACGTGTTCTCACCGCTCTAACTCTGGTTTATGGTAATGGAACCGCCGGTGCATCCACCTCAGCGAAATGATCAACTATGGCATCTGCTGTTATGCCGGAGGAGCTCGCCCATCCTTTGTTCACGCACAACCAGATGAGTCAACCCTCGGCCACAAGTCCCCCGTGGTGATAAAGGATACCTACTATTCATTTGAGTACGTTGAAGAATGAGAAGCAAATGTTAACGTATGTAGAATACAGTACCTGCTGTTTTCGTTCAATTATATAACACGATTCTTGATGTGCGGCCTTGCCCGCTTGTTTCGGCTGGTACACTTCTTTTCCGTTTTAGCCCACATGGACTATCGTGAACCTCTATCTTCAGGTTATTACGCTCTCCTCTTGCTTCCACGGTATGCTTGCTACGTATTAGGTGGCCACGCAGGGATGTCTTCTACGCACTGGTGGTTTTGACAGATTGTCCTTGTTAGTGAACATGTGCCTATGGACCTTTGAAGTAGCAGGTTGTTCAATGACCCATAGCCGGCGGACCGTCAGATATGAATGCTTATACGTGTGTCAAAAACTTACGGTTAACGGGAAACACGCCTGAAGTGGGGCACAAGAGAAAGGTAGACAGTACCCCAGTAATATGAAAGACTTAGTGCTCATGCACACGCTGCGGATTATATATCCCGAGACAAGGACAAACTATCCAAACATGCGCTGAGTTATTCACTGACCTTGATGCATCAGAACTCCCGACCAATCTATGTGTATATACGAAAGTGGAGAATTGTGTCAACCTTTTGTCACATACACAAGCTTGTCTTCAACGCAAGGAACGGGTGCATGGGTTGCTGTGACATTCGGGTGTCGGGAAATGTGAAGCCAAATGTTCGGAAATAAACTTTATTAAGGACGATTGCGACACAATCACAGAGGCATCAAACATGAATTTCACAACCGTATGTGAAAACGGGAAAAGAAGTAATAACTGACAGCAAAATGGTACTTACCACGCTCGTTCACTCAGGTTGCCCAGGGGACGCCCACTGGTTTGCACTGCTGCACCACCTTGAGGTGGGGGGGATTTCATGGAAGGAGGCTTGTGCAAACCTGATCGACAAGCAACGACCGCAATCATCGAAACCCAGACGCACAATGGGGTCGCAACTATCTGATAAGATAGCTTGAAGATCACTTAGTTTTGATGGTTTGCCCTTATGAGCAGCCTGGACCGAAACCATAGTCTCAGTGTCGGTAGTTAATGGCACCGTGTAGTAACTGTATTTTCCTCAGCTTTGTTCTCGGTTTGAGCCTCCCAAGCTATCGTTCACGGCAGAACAACCAAAAAAGTGCATAAGGTCAATTAATGCCCAAAAATAGTCAAGAACAGGTGTACAGCGCTTCGTATATATAGCGTAAGCGGTTATAACCTTCTGGAAGTTCTGACGCGTTCCGGATGCGCCATTGGCAACCGACATTTGGCCAATACTGGGTCATGGTTGGCTGTTGGGTCCAGATTTCTAACCAATCAGATCTCGTCTTGATGCCGGATCGGCAAGCGTCCCGAATTCTTGGCCAGTCTCCTGCGGGTCAGGCTTATCGGCCGTAGCTACGCCTAGAAACGTGCGGTAAAGCAGGATCCTTTTTGAATTCCGCTCAACACCTCCCCCTTGAAGTTTGTTGACGGAGCTTCGAACCCGAAAATTTACTTGCAGTGGCCCCACTGACTTGCGGATCCTGCCTTTCTGTCGCTGCGGTTGTAATCCGTTCTTAGGCTGGGCCTCCGACGAAGCAACTGATCGACGTACTGGGATGGTGCCGAGATCAAAAGTGTCCAGAAGCTTTTCTAGACTCAAATCACTCGGTTCCGTGCGGAGGATCTGTGTATCTGCCGGCCGGATCCGGTTCGTGTGGCGTATCTACTTGGCTGGACCAACTTGAATCTCGTAGAGCACTTTGCTGCGCCGGCGAAGGATGAGTCCTGGGGTCCACGTAGGGTGTCTTCCGCTATGGTCACGAGCCAAAACTTTCTGGCCTTCGCTGAATGAGCGCGCAGTTGTTCCATGATGCCAGTTGAACTGTTCCTCCACTCTGGTCTCGCGGTGACTAGCGTGCCTTTCTTGTGCCCGGATAGTATCATGCGGTGTTCGAAAACTCCTTCGGAGCAATGCCTCTGCTGCTGATACTCCATCAGATGAGTTGGCGTCTCTCGATATGCCAGCAGGAAGCTTTGCAAAATCTTTTCCGTTCGTCCCTCTCCTCTGGACATCTGAAGTGCCCGCTTCACTGTCAACAAAGCGCTCCGCTTGGCCGTTCGACTGTGGATGAAACGGCGGCGAGCGTATATGCGTTATGCCATACTCCCGACAAAGGTGTGCGAACGCCGACGACGTAAACTGACTGCCGTTGTCGGATACAATAGTCTCTGGCGTTCCAGAGCGACTGAACAATCCCCGGAGTTCTGGGACTGTGATGGCAGTTGTGGGGCTGTTCACCGGAAAAATCTCCGGCCATTTGCTGTAAGCGTCGACCACGACCGAAAAGTGTTGGCCACCCACTGGACCTGCATAATCGATGTGAAGACGAGACCAGGGTTCGGTCGGTTGCGGCCACGAGCTTAGGTAGGTTTTCACCGGTGACTTGGATGCTTCAGCGCACCGCAGGCAAGATTTCGAGACTTGCTTGATCTGGGAGTCCATCTAAGACCAGAAGACATAACTGCGAGCAAGGGCCTTCATCCTATTTGTTCTTGGCTGCCCTTTGTGGAACTGATTCGGGATTGCTGGTCGTAGCTTCTTTGGGATGAATACACCAGGCATCCATCGGCTAGTGATAACGCGTCACGCCGGTTGAAGTAAGGCCTTAGTTCGTCTTTTTGGCAGGTACGCGGCCACTGATTGCGATGGTACTTTATGACTTGCTGCAGCACAGGGTCTTGATCGGTAGCCTGGCGGACCATGTCGGCAGTCACTGGGAGGATGCGAACAGCTTCGGAAACTACGTGGTTAACCTCTGGTTCCAAGGCAATTGTTGCGATCACGGTATCTTCTGGTTCTGGCCTGCTTGAATCCATGAGTCGGGACAGTGCGTCGGCTTGTCCGAGGCTGATGGTGGACTGGTATTTTATCTTGAAGTCCTATCCCAGAAGCAGTGGCCCATCGCTGGAGTCGGTTATCAGTATGTGCCGGAATTCCTTTCTTCGAGCCAAACACAGCTAGAAGGGGCATGTAATCGGTCAGTAGAGTGAACTGACGGCCACAGAGCATATTATGAAATTCCTTAACGGAAAACCCGATCGCCAAGGCTTCCTTTTCTATCTGACTGTAGTTGCGCTCGGCTGAAATCAGGGATCTGACCGCATGTGCAATGGCTTTCTGGCTGCTATCTGGAAATACGTGTGAAATCACTGCGCCAATTCCATAGTTCGAGGCGTCCGACGCCACAAAAATTTCCATCGATGGATCGTGGTGTGTGAGTAGCAAATCGGAACTTAGCATGGATTTGACAGGGTCGAAGGCGCGTTGGCATTCTTCTGACCACGTCCACTTGTGGTCCTTGGTAAGTAGCTGATTTAGTGGGCCTCGAATGCGATGCTTCGCAGGCAGAAACGAACTATATTGACTGACGAGACCGAGGAAATTCCTGAGTGACGCCACGTCTGCGGGTGCTGGCATACGTTTGATCGCTTTAATGTTCTGCGGGTCTGGACGGCGGTCATGTTCGTCAATAACGAACTCAAGGTCCTTTATCGAACGCATGAAAAAAGTGCATTCATCTCGGCACACTTTGAAGCCATATTCTTGAATACGACTACGCACGTAATCAAGGCGTTGCCACAGTTCGTGGGGGTTGGAACCCATGGCAATATGATCGTTCAAATAGGCGTCAACGCCGAGGCATCTTTCAGCATCGTATCCACACCAAATGGCAGTAGAGTGTACTGAAACAGACCTCGATGCGTATTGATCGTGAGCAGTTCTCGGGATTCTTCCTCCACTTCAACCTGGAGATACGCATCGGCCAAGTCAATGGTGGAAAAATCTGCGCACAACAGGATCATCCCGGTAGCCTTCTTCACCAACACGATAGGTGTGGCCCAAGCGGAGCAGTTGGTCGGTTGAAGAACACCCGCCTTCCGAAGTCGGTCCAGTTCTTGACCAACGATAGGCAAGGCTGCATACGGCACCGGAACTTTTGGCCTGAAGACTGGTTTGGCACCAGGGAGGAGGCACAGTCTGGTTCTTGCTTTTGTACACCGTCCAAGCTCGTCAGTGAATACATATACATAGCGTTGTAGAAGGTGCTCAAGTGAGCGCTTTGGAAAATCAGTTCGTCCGGGTGCTGCGTGCATGCGGTTGCAAATAGAATTGATTAGTATATCCAGCAGATTTAGCTTCTCGATCCAATCTAGCCACATGAGATCAAGTTTGGGGCATGACTTCAGGGGGCAGGTGGATTGGCGTGCCGTCGAGTCATTGAAGTTAATGAGACAGTCAACCTCGCCAGTCAACTTCAGTTTACCACCGGAAGCATTACGGGCCCGGAGTTCAGTCGGCTTCACATGTGGCTTACCGATTCGTTTCCACGTTCGTTCACTGAGCAGCGTGATATCGGAGCCAGTATCAAGTTGCAAACGAACTGGGATGTCGTCGATACGAACCGTCAGGAACTTCCCTCAGCAAGCGAAATCAACTTTGAATGTTACCGTCACCGAGCTGGACCGCGATTTGTGGGCTTTACGGTGGTGTGCGGGGTGGCTGCAGTCTTTGAGATCGAAATAAATCTTTGTGGCCGCGACGACTGCACCTGGAACAGTCGTGACGCCTGAACCGGCAATAACGACCAAAATGCCACTCGCCTCAATGCCAGCAACTGTGGGTTGCTTACTCTGTCTTCGATGGGGCTTCTTGTCAGATTTCTCTTGCGCCAATCGTAGTAACGGTATTTTCCTCGGCTTTGTTCTCGGTATGAGCCTCCCAAGCTATCGTTCACGGCAGAACAACCAAAAAAGTGCATAAGGTCAATTAATGCCCAAAAATAGTCAAGAACAGGTGTACAGCGCTTCGTATATATAGCGTAAGCGGTTATAACCTTCTGGAAGTTCTGACGCGTTCCGGATGCGTCATTGGCAACCGACATTTGGCCAATACTGGGCCATGGTTGGCTGTTGGGTCCAGATTTCTAACCAATCAGATCTCGTCTTGATGCCGGATCGGCAAGCGTCCCGAATTCTTGGCCAGTCTCCTGCGGGTCAGGCTTATCGGCCGTAGAAGCGCCTAAAGACGTGCGGCAAGGCGGGATTTGTGGGGGAAAATCCACCGACTGGACTTAACCAAGTGGACTAATCACCGTTTATGGTACTAAGCGGCGAAGCCTAATCGGCAAAACGGTAACAAACATGACCGCGCAGAATAACACAAGCACTTTATGGGTTGTCCGAGCTAAGCCCTTTGCTGTCGCGGGAGAAGACGCACGATTCGATGCTGCATGCCAATTCAAAACGTCCTGAGCATTCAGCGGCAGTCGGCTCAGACGCTCCAAATAGGACGGTAACCGCTCATCTTTCGGTCGGCCACGCACAAGCATCACCCTAACGTGTCTTCTATACTTGACTTCCAACTGCTCATTTCTTCTGATAATGGCGCGGTCACAGGCGAGCCAAAGGAAAGTCTCGGTTATTTTCCGCATAAAGTACTCGTTGGCATTTTCAACCCGGCTAAGTGTTTCGTTTTCTAGGGTTACCGTTTGCTCCCGTGCATTCTTCTCCTAAGTACTCAGGTTGGACTTTCAGTACCATTCGAGATATGACTAGTATTCCTAGTTGCGGATTCGGTTGCTTGCAGCTTAGACAAAAAACTCACGGACTTTACACTCGTTTATCGTGTGAAATAGGTAAGCAAAACTTTCTTATCTGATTGGGACACTTCCATAAACTTGTTAATCCTGGTGTAGAACCTCGTATCACACGAAAGGGGCAAAAGGGGCATTAACGACACGGGCATTAGGCGTCACTGCCTTCAGGCTACATAAGTGTGACTAATTCTTGCCAGCACCAATCGTCCTGACAACATACACAGTGGTACCATTCGGAAAAAATGTTCAACGGCTATATAGTAACAATCCTTTTAATAGTTTTGGACAAAGGAGTGAAAGACACTGCGGTAAACCCAACAGCGATCGATGAGTACCACAAATCACGCGTTGTAAACCTTTCTGTTACACTGCATGGTGAGCCGGCATTTTCGAAACCACCGTAGTTCGCAAACAAACCAGATGGGCACAGAAGTGAATGAGGAAATATCCAAACTAAGTCGTCACAAACAGAGGCAGCCATGTGTCCGAATTCTCGCGTGGTCTCTCTAATACCCTGAAAATTTCAAACAGGATCGTCTGAATAAAGAATCTTATCGCGCAGGGCCCTAACATTATCACCGTTCATGTTGATTCCGTTGTTTTTTCTGGACAAAGTCACAAATTTCCATGGACGACTTAGAACACCTAAGCAAACCAAAAGCCACGCGTTCCCGCCCATCATTGAGGTGGCGGTGGCCAAAGTAGAGTTGCCTGTCGGGCCATCGCATATTGTGAGAATGTTGCATGTTACAATCGGCTATTACAAGGTGGCAGTCATGCTGAACCACAAACATGGAGGATCGCCATTCTAAATAGGCGTGCTAAATACAAGTGAATCATGGGATTATGAAGACGATTATTAACATACAGATGAACATGCTCATTAGCACTCCAGTGTGTACGCGCATGTACGAATTTTTATACTGCGAAAGTATAACAAATAGATGGTGCAAGCACTTTACTACAACCTTTATCATAATTCGTCGCCAGATGAACTGTGCTGGCGGGAAAAACATACGCCCGTCCTCTGCTGGAATTTCCGCGGATTGGACTGAAATTCTTCGGAGGAACGACGACCACGACCGTTACGTACTCAAGCACTTGGCATAATGTACTATGTTCATTCAACTGTACTTCCTGTGAACCTACGAGATATTAAGTACAGTGACAGCTTACTTAACGGTAGTGACTAGAGAGATATCATTGGAAATCCATTTGTATCAAGGTTTCTGGAGTTACTGATACTTCTTGCTTCTACGACGGAAAGCGGATCCTCGATCCATAAGCATCAAGCAAGATTTCGACCGGAAAGATGCTGCGTCAACTTTATCTTCACATTCCGTGAGGTGTTGGGACAAGGCCACACATCTAGACCAGCAGTGATCTTTGTGCCCGTGGATGTTTTGTCTTGTCGGTGTTAGTACGACCGCTGCCAGTCTTTGGCTGTCTGCTCCACACTATAGTTTAGCAAAACTCGTGGTGGCCTAATAAAACCTCCATGAACACCGTGGAGTATTATTACATGCGCACGCACGGTGTCATCAAAGAATGCCCCCAAGGTCACACTAGAATCTTCGTGATGGAGTGAAGAGTCGACTCATATATGCTTGGTCAAGATTGGTTAACATTCTGACCAGCCAACACATGCTTTCGGTTAACTTGTAGTGACATCCTTTGAATTGATTTAATTTTTGGTTAGCAAGAGCGACCGGTCTTTAGACACCTCCACTGCGAGGTTTCCTTTCGCCCGCCCGTCACTTCAAGCCTAGTCGTGACGAATCAGAGCAGTGCTGTTGAACGTCGATCCGTCCCTTGGGCAGTAGGCGTGCAATTCTGCAACCCGGTGTTCTCCACTTCAGAGGTAATTTACGGACTTCCGGTGTTCTACGCGACTTAGTTATCTTACAAACGCAAGGTCTACCGTCTGGAGCCAATTAATCTGGCGTGGCCGTGCCTACGATTTCGTTCGCGCCGTGTTCTTGACGTAGTATCTGGCTCTGCGTCCGACTGGAAAATATTTTCCATATCCCCAAATCAGCAGCCAGCCTCTGATCGACTGCGGTAGCGTTGCTCCTGGCGGCTTTGTCTCGACTTCCCGTGTAGCGGTGGAAGAATCCACATGGACATGGGACTGTTGGCTGAATTCAGGGGACTGCTAGTACAAGGCTGCGGGTTGCTAACGGCATTCATCAAAATGGACTTGAGTGAGAGGGTTACCGGTGCTAGACGCAACCATCTAATTAGCCACTCTGTCGCGCATGCCGTGACTGGTCCCCGGCATAAATGCAACCGCAGTGACCTCAAAATTGTCAGGACATAGCCTTTTCAGTGACGTATTGCAGCCTTCTGCGTCGGATATATTTTGAACGTGCACTTTGGTGGCCTGCTAATTAACTTCAAGTTTTTTCATAAAGGAAGCTACGCAAAAGGTTGCCCATGACCGGTTACTTCTTGTTGGGGCTCACAATGTAGGCACAGTCTTCGAGTTTCGGTCAACCTTATGGTCTACTTGAACCCAAATTGCACTCTTTTTGAGAACTGCACTCATTTGCAAATCAATTTGGTTTCCACGGGAGACTCAGTTGAATCTCTCTTTTGTGATGTCCTCCAGGTTCGTTTTTAAATCAGGGGGAGTTTATAACCTGTATCAAGTTGGAGGGTAACCGGTGTTCCATTGACAAATGCTGTGACTAATTCGCATTAGCCAGACGGTTTCATCCCGAATGTGACGGCTACGATTACTGCAAGGTTCCTTTTGTCTGGCTGATGTTTGCGCGAGCTCCTGAAGTTATTTCTGTAGCGTTTTTACTGTAGCAATTTTGTTTGCACTTGCCGCGCCTGCGTTTCGCCTGTATAAACCTGCATGAAAAATACCAATCATCACAAAACCAGTAGGGTGTACCCGGTTTCTCCGGGTCCGTTGGGAAATTGATTGTCTTATGGAATTAACGTTACACACCTTGTCAGGCAGAGAAGGGTGGTGATATCCAATTACTGCATCATAATTCTTCGGAGTGCTAAGGTGCTGAGATTTGATGGGAAGTTTACGCAGTGTCAGCGCTTTTCGATTCATTTAAGTTGCCGGATCTGAATTTCTGCATTCGGCGACAATTGAGGGCCATCCGCGAAGATAAGACTTTGATTTACCTTTGGTCGCAGTGTTGGGCTGGTGGAGCTCGCATTCTCTGTTTACCCCACCGGTATAAGTGGCAAAATATTCACTATCCATTTAGGCCATCTTAAGAGCCTAATAATGAACACTAAACTAAGAAATCTTTCCGCTCAATTTCCGGGCCACAATTCTGATGGTATCCGCAAGGCTATAGTCATGAGGAACAGATCATGTTCAGTTGTCCCAAGTTTTCGCTGCAATGGTCGAAATTATCACCCATGATCAAACGGAGAAATGTCGGCTTAGAACATGTCCCTGTATTTCTTCAAATTATTCTTAAAATATCGTCCAGCCACACAGTCAAAACTGGCTGCAGGAATAGAGCTGGCTGTAGCATCTGTGGAAGAAAATGGGGCGATAATATTTTCCTCTTGTTAATTGACTTACCGCGCTCAATTTGAGATTCTTTAAAATGCTTCTGTGGCTTTTGTCAAATTACTCTGACTCAAATTTCAAGCTCAGGGCACACACATTCATTAGACAAAATTTTTTTTCATTTCGGGTAGTAGCTGCGTGGAATGACCTTCCTCCGACGGTTGTCTACGCTCCTTCTAGAACCCAGTTTAAAGCACTGTTAGACATTTGTTTATGCGAATCCTCGCGCTGGCGAGCATACTGCCTCGCGCTGAGAACATAAAGAGCAGTGCTACACCCTTTTTTCACTTGTGCCTTTCAGGTGAACGACAGCCACTGACCGACAAGAACAAAACCGACCCGGGAAACTTGGGCAAAAGCCTCGATCCTGTGTATCAATCCGTGAATCCGTGAACCTCGCAGCTGACATCGTGGGTTCATGGTATCGCTAATTTGATAGTTCGGGCAGCGGTGCAACCTACATTTTGGTCACAGTCTTCCTGCCTCCCCCATTTTATTATCCCGTGCAAAACACAAAATGAAAGCATCGAATCGACTGAAAAAATTAAGTTACCCTGGTGATGACTAGTTGTTTTACATTAGTCGTGCTCATATCGAATCGACTGAAAAAATTAAGTTACCCTGGTGATGACTAGTTGTTTTACATTAGTGGTGCTCATTCATTTGCAGCCAATGTTTCCGTCTAAATATTCATTTATGCATGACCTGAAAAAACCTTGCGCAAAACACGTTTATAGACCGTTCTTCATTATACTTTTACATGAGAATCGCACGTAATTTTTTGGTTTTCGCGTCCTGAGCATCCAAGGGACTAGGCAAAAGCGCGTTTACCGCGTGGCCGGTGGTCCAGCAATGACGATCCAAGCACTGCATGCATGAACCGTAAAAGCTTGAGAACAGGGTAACGAAAGCTGACTAGGTGTTGAGAGGTTCATATTGATATTTGTCAACAGAGGTTGCAGGAAGAGAGCATGGATAACGGTGCACATCAACTGTAAACTGCAACAATACGGTTCCCATTAACAAGCGATGCAAATTGCGTAACATAGAAAACCGCGTCACACGCACGTTGTAGCGCATTAGCGTATAACTGTTCCGCTCGGGTTGCAAACTTTCACCAAACTACTCAGCGTGTTGTTTTGCAAAGCAAGCACTGAGTTTTTTACTTCCCGGTGATTTTATTCGCATGCTCAAGTGATTGTTTTCAATGACAGCGTTGTTACATTTCGAGACCCATGAGGAGCTCATGAAAGGTTCATCAGGAATTCATAAAGAATGCAATACTAATTGTTTTATGTGCATCTCTAGAAGCTTTCCAACGTTGGCTCCAACTGAGCCGCGTACACGCAAATAATATGGAGCGTTTTTTGTCTCGTAATCTCCGGCAACCTACGGGGTTTACACACGCATGCAATGAGAGTGTTGAAAATGAAAATTAGTGCTCCATAAGATGCTATCCATCGACAACTTTTAATTTAAGACTCGAAAATGAAGGATTCATTGCGCGCTTTCAGTTTGTTTATCAGCTGTGCATAATGAGGCAGGATAATTGTTCCTAATCTTACACATCAGTTGACCTCTGCCATGCCTATGTCCTTGGCCAGTATCGGACCAGCTTGTTAATGTAAAAGTGACCTAAGTGACCCCACTGTACTAGCGCATGTCACAGGCATGCTTTAACCATAACAGCATTCCTCATACACCACCGACTCTTGTTTAATAGTCTTCGCGTGCTGTATGTGTGCCACACAATAACTGACAGCCGGCACGCTGTATTGTTTAACGCATTTTGTTACATAATACTCGGTCTCTAGGTGCACTTGATACAGGTATCGCCAACTTCATTCAGTGAAACTTAAGTATCATCCGAATACGACGTATCACCATCTCGTCCTACATAGGGGCTTTATTTTGTGGGTAAAACTTTTATGATAGAATACAGGGGGAAGTTTTCCCTCGCTGATGTTCCGTTCATCCTTGAAACGAAGGTTTCCTATGAGGCAGCAAGCGTCTATCCTGAAATTAAACTAAATATGAAAATTTATTAGCTAATTTTTACTGCTGAACGATTTATCACCGAAGTAGGTTGCTTTTGAGGTTTGCACGCTGTATTACAATTCTGAAATTCGCTCAATACGCAGGGCGTATTGCACAAGTTAGTGTATAGGCGACAACTGTCTTCCTCGAACAGGATGGCAACATTCACGACTACCCTTCAGCGTACGAGACAGCTGCAACGATCACTGGCATAGTTGGAGAACCATAACTTGTGTGCCTTGCGGATCTTTGTTTAATTCAGAGCAGCACTTATCTTTCACGACATTTTACTATGTGAGGTAAGTTGTGCGCAAAAAATGCGTTCGGAATTTTCGGCAGAAATAAAAATATCAAACATTTTTGTAGTAGCTGCGCTCAATTACCGACATTACTTACTCACTGGATCATAATCTTCGGCGGTAATATTCTCGCACAACCAGGGTTACAATACACTATTTTTAAATTCCGATTCGTTAACTGTTGCATTTTGTGGTCGATTTATACTGATTACTAGGCTTTGAGAAGTATGAAACTGGCTTGAAGTGCTCTAGACCTCAGAGCAGAACGCACAGGTTAGAGTCCAAATCGATTTCCCCTGTTCAGTACCAGCGATGGAGCATTAGTAGTGGTGGTCTTCATAGTGTTTGTTCTGCTCTCCTTGGAGCCGAAATTGTGGACGCTGACGGATTTCCGGGACACTATGCCAAGCTTGTGTGCTCGGGTTGAAATCAACATAGTAGCGAGGCTTCTTTGTGAACCGTGTTGCAGCCGCACCTGTGTGCTTTCGATGAAAGCCGGAGAATGGACCACAAAAATACATAGTCATGTGAGTACTCATTTTGAAGACATGCCAAAATATTCGCACCGCAGACCAGGTATGGCAGTCAGGCATGGGCAAATTAGTGTGTCCTGACATCTTCCGCATGGCTCTCGACCGTGTGAAATATGCATCCGCCCTTTTAAGCAATGGATGGTTTTTTCGAGAGTCGATTTTTTACATTACCAAAGCAGAATGCCCCGCCTTGTGCCTGTAGGTGATATTCAACCAATAGGCAGTGAAATAAGAGTCAAATCGTGGTTTCATGTGATTCAGTACCTGCATCCTATGGGACGAGCTTTGGGGACTACCATAAACACAGGAAGAAAACCTGTCTAGCCGATCTGACTACACAAACCACACGGTGTAAAGTTTGCCGCCTATTGAAAAAATGTCTGAACGAAATGCATGGGTGTCACGCGTAGCAACTGTGCTACGTTTTAGGTTTTCGGATACGAAAACAGAACAACACAACCTCACAGATGAACATGATTCTGATGATCTGCACTTGTGCCGGTAGTTTGCTTGCGACAAATATCTTCGCTGGGCACTGTTGGTCCACCAGCTCTTAGGCCAAACATAGTAGCTTACTTACGGGAGCAAATTGACTTTTCCACAAGTGCATACTTAACCAGACGGCCGATACGTATTCCATATGTGATCGGGAAGTTATAGTTTCCATCTGAGGGCCAAAAACTAGGTATTTCAAAAACTCACCCAAGTTTGTTCGTCGCTTGTGTCCAATCAACATTTTGGAAACTTTGAAACAGAGCAGTCTGCCGATATCTAGATGATATATAGCAGAAACGTCTTCCACCTGAAAACAAACCATATTCGAGCTTGGGAAGCACAGCCAGTTCCGAAATCGTAGCGTCTGCCACAATAACACAAAAATGTCAATCAATCATTCAACGGAGCCTGTGGACACTTCTAGAGGTAGGTGATAGAAAAGGTTTCCGTGCCAACTAATACACAACCAGATTGGGCCACCGGTGCTTAGCGTGCTGTTTGTAATAAGCCAGTGGGCTTAACTTGGTGGCTTGTTCTGATTCGCAGATATTTGCTTGGTTTTGGGGATCGTTCACGGCATTAGCAGCATAGAAATTCCTTAAGACAGCAAGGTTGGTGCTCTTCGCTCGCTGCACGAACACATATTGCATGTTCATCCTACATTTACCCATTTAAAGTCTTCTCAGATTATGTAAGGGCTGCGAACCGCACAACTTTAGATTTTTCAACGTCTATCTGAATTCAGGCCTATGACTTAATGAGTCATGTCGGTGCACCTCTATAATTGAATGCGTGCGGAAGATGACGGAAAGAGGTTGATTAAATATTCGAAAAAATGTAAGCAGATTATTGAGCTTTTTAGTTTGACCGTGCATAGCGGACGTCATAGAGTTTAAGGTAACTCTTTCTCTTTCGTATCCGGTTTCGACAAATGTGCTTATGCTGCGTAGTTATTGGCAGTTTAATGGCAAATCGGTGGTTGCATACAATCGGTAGTGTAATGTGAACGCTTGACCGCCTAAACTAGCGGGTGCGAGCAGCGTACCAGAGAGACCTACAGTAAGGCTAAACTGACTTTTTGTAGAGTTCTTTCATTCGGAACACCTCGGGTTGCAAAAGTGGCCACCTTTTAGGGGAACCGTCCAAAAACAAAAAAGATGATTGTCTCAACTCAGCCACTAAATTACTGAAACAAAATTACAGAGTTACGTGTAGGTCCGGGAGGGTTGCTGTGCTTGGACCTCTCTCGGTCTGATTCTGAGTTATGCCCCACACTTCTTACCCAGTCTCTCCATTCAATGCATAGATAACCGGATTTCACCTAGTTTAGCTCCGACGTTCGTGTTATTCATTCACATCACATTACACAATCACATTCGTGTGTCATTCTGTCATAAACAATGACATCAGAAATACGATTGCTTCTAAAACACTTGTACCACAAGATATTATTTTGTACACTGACGGCGTTCACAGAACAAAGAATAATATGAAAGTGGTTATAATTCTCGAGGTGTGCTTTTGCCGCAGCTGTATTTCTGTGAATGAGACTTGCTATCAGTGAACGGGTTCAATCAGAAGGTAGCTTATTAGATGGATTTTGGGTTTTCAGCTGACAGACACTTTTTCTTCAAAAGCACACCACCGGGTATCGCGAACTGCGTGAAGACAAGTGTGGACGGAACGGCCGACTTACTAAATAAAGTACTACATTTACCTTAGTCGAGAATACACCACGTGCCACAATGCTGCGCAGCGATGCGTAGAACAACGAATGTGTCGGTGCCACAAATCTTGAGCCCTTTACTAGGCTTGCCAGGGTGATCAGACGGCTAACGTCGGTATTGCATCAAGCTGACTGTAACTGTTGTCGGAACGGCAATATTTAGGCAACTCTGCCTGTAACCTCTGGAGTCTGAAAATAATGAGGCCACATTTGGCCAGCTATCCGGTTCCTTTGGCACAATCAATCGAATCAAATAGGTCGCCCGCTGACTCTACTCGTTTTCGAACGTGACACACCGACCCGAACATGTTTCTAGAGTAAAGAGAAAATACACTCTTATGTTCTGTACCTCCCAACCATAAACAGTAAAAGATTGCGTGGTTCTGAATGCCGGTTGGCCAATTTCGCTATTTTTTTCAGTAGCAGTCGACAACCAGTTCTGTTTTTGGTTTTCCTGCTACTCAAGATTCGGGAAACGTTGTGAAAAGTTGCCGCGCATTTTATCTCCGGGTCCCATCGGAATATGTATTGAACAAACTTTGGGAAAACTCAATATTTAAGGAGGTTTTTGGTTTTGAATTAATTACTTGAAATGTTGCGGCTTAACACAAGGTATTCATTCTTTCACCTAGGTTTAGAAAGATTTTTGCTGCGTTTCTGAATAGCTATTGGACTGATACCGCAAACCAATCGATGACCCACAGATGTCACACACAGGTTGGTCAGAACATGTGAATAAAGCTCGTATTTTCCCAGTTACCCATGTACGACACGAGACTCCGTGCTTCTAACTGTCTAGCTTCATCTTTTAAAGGCTTATACGATTGTCATATGTACTAGTATGGCATCAATCACCAAACAATTTTGTTCCACGCATAAATTTTACGTGGTAAACCGTGGTTGGTGGATCAGTATGCAGAAGGCCAACATAAAAGGTAGGGACCTTACCAACGTGTGGCAAACCAAAATGAGTTCATAAGCTGCAGGCAGTCCTATAAAATTAACAAGGTGATCTTGCTAATTCCAAATTAGGACGTGTTGGTACTCTGATATGCAGCATGTCAATGAGTACGATGAACATATTTAGCTTTCCTCCTTCCGAAACTGATGTTGTTAGATCGAATACTGCGCTCAATTACGGAACTAAATCTAGACTAAAAGTCACCGTTCGTCTCAAATCCTATGAGGACCTTCTTCGGACGGACTAAATTTGCTCAATTACGGAACTAAATCTAGACTAAAAGTCACCGTTCGTCTCAAATCCTATGAGGACCTTCTTCGGACGGACACCTATAAATTTGATGGGGCATATAAAATTAGACCGCTTTTGCGGCGGATTAGGGCAGCGGATCTTGGTCAATTTTCTCATCAGGAACTCGTCACGTAACTACTGAACCCGGCTTTGAGGTAGCATCAAGAACCGAGACCAAATATTTGGTGCGCAAGTTATTTTGGCGTTCGCTAACTTTGTCTCACGAATTCAGAGCTAGACCTCGACGTATGCCGGTGTATCTTGTAAATGATTTTGTATTTCAAATTCAGCAAAAAAATTTCCTAGCAGTTGTTGCCTTCCCTTGGCGTGCGCATTTAATAATAATGACAATAATAGGCCTTTTTCAACCTCCAGATAACATGCCAAATAAAACAAGGTGTTCTCAACTGGCTACCGAATCCAGTTTAACGGTATGAGAGACTTGGCACACTGTTGGTGGCTGATGCTGCTGTATTAATCACTTCCGAGTCTCTCAAAATGCTTCAAATGCTTCATGCCCTAATCAAACTTCAAAAAATCCGCATAGAACTCTGCTAGTTTTTTTATAACAAAGATCACTTCTTTGTTGTAACCACAACTAAAAGATTGGTGGTTGCAACAGAAGAAACAAAGAAGGAATGCTTAGAAGCAAATTCAGGAGCTAGGAAGTGACTGGCCTTAAAAAATATGTATCCACATGCAGCTAATTTTACGTCTCTGCTAAAGGCGCTCATGCCACGGAACTTTATCACAGTGTGTTTCAACTGTATATTCATTTCTGATCATATATGTGTAGGTTCTTATCACCAAACCTGGAACGCGCTCCGACGGCTGCCGAATGAGCACTAAAGAGCCCCGTCCTTGAAGACCAACAATAAGAGGTGTCACCTTGATGTGGTATCCGCAAATGAGTTTCAAGTTGAGCATCCAACATGCGCTGGATTAAATTTTACTTCTCACCTCATAGGCGTGCGGTTAAATTCCAGAAAGAATCACCAAATACAAAGTCATGGGAACCGTTTTTCCAGTGAGGTGGAGTAAAGTTGCAATGTGTTCTGCGAAATGGGTTTCCTCCGAATGAATAAATGTCCATGCTCACGTAGGTGTCGACCGCCTTCTCCCGTGTATAACGTTTGATCTAAGAATTGGCCGGGCAGTGGAGGACCATGACCGCTGGTGTGTAAACAAGCAAACCCTACCAAGTGCTCAAAATACACGAAAAAGTATCTACTGTGTATATTGCCACCAAAAATGGGATTTTTATGTCATATCCCAAGCGTTTTCTGGATAAACCGGCCTTCTGCGACCGAATGGTCGAGCCGTCGCGTTATCGATATTTGACCATGTCGTTCGAGAGTACCCAGGCACTTCTGCAACGCGGATAGTTAGTGAGAATTTTTAGGATGCCACAGGTATCCTCCTTCTTTTTTCTTGTTCGTGGTTAGGATCTTCGAGCCGAAAGCCCAGTTTGCTGAACCAAACCTCGAAATTCTTCCTCCTTCTGGGCAACTGGGAAATAATAATTTACGTACTCTCCTCTGATGTCCATTCCTAATCACTTCTTGTTATGAAAGTATAGTTTGCTTAGGCACGGGAACGTCGGGCCTTATTAGTCAGGAGGTATGCAACCACCACCAAAATAGTCCTTTGCTCCTTTGTACAAGAGAGTGATATTTTTTATCTTGGCAAATGATGCGCCTTTGGTTCCAGGTAACATTCGCGAGGCCGATAGCGTGGTTATGTTGTAGTCCGGGAACATAACAGCTAATATGCCTAGCCGGATGTCCAGCGCCCTTAAGATTTTGTAAATGTCGATGAGACGCAGGCGAGGAACAGATTTTGGATAGCCATTTTAAAGCAGCTAATGTGTGGTCAGCAAATAAAATATCTATATATTGTTAAACAATACGGTGGTTTACCCGGGCGTTCGGTCATGTATGCCTTTGTGGAAAGCGGGCGGTTTGCTTCCGCGCATAAACTGCTTAGCGTGCTCAGAGAGGTAGTGTGCGAACAGTATCATACACGGGTGTTTTCATCTCTCAGACGTTCGGTCAGTGATTTTGTTGAGTCCAGGTGGATGAGTACGTGTTAATCGTTTAGATGAACTAAGTTTATTCAGCTGTTTGTTATGTTGGACGTAGGCTGCAACTGATTAATCATCGTGAGTAGATGGTTTCTAGTCATTCGTGATTGTCTGTTAGTTTCTTTTTGCTTTTTTATGCAAGCAGCAACAGTAATTTCAACTAGGGGTAGGGACAAACTGGGTATTTTTGTAGTAAGGGCGGTTGATCATGTATCTCCATATCCTCAATAACTAGCCACCCCCAGGGCCGGCTACGGAAATCCAGATGTCTTCCGGCGTTTCCGGTGGAGGACCCCGCCGTCAGTAGACAGGACCTGCATACTTCGGGGTCACATCACGCCATGCATTGGAAAACTAGAACTACAGGCAAGAGTCACCACCACCTGCAAGCCATGTGCTCCTCAAATGCCGTAAGACGTGCCAGATTTTTTGGAATATTTTATCACGATGAATACTCGGATGAGCACCTCTACAATCACGAGAACACAGAATTCGTTGTCCGTCTTCTCAAGCCGAAGATACCAGAAAATTCATATTTCTTGTGGGAAACTTCCACATGTTTTGCGGCAGCGAATCTACGATAGGCTGTAGAAATTTCCACGAATTGCTACAGCTCCGGAAACGTCTACAGCTTTCGTCCATTGCAAGCGATTGACATTTTCCAGATTTACGTCATTCTGTTTCACTAGACGTTGTTTTTTTCAATTTGAAGTAGTTGTTGACCTTGAATATTGGCCAACTGAAACAAACTGTTCACTTAAATTATTCTTAGAAAAGCGCATTACACAGACCAATTTGACTTTGAAGTAATAACCTCAAATATATCGTAGTTTCCATGGCATCGTTTCCATCCGCCGAAGGACACTCAGCATAACGAGCTTGTACAAACTCACCGGATAATAGGAGTGCCATGCCTTACGAGGCAGCTATACTGAGATCGTCCCTACCGAGTATCCCACGGTCGTCAGGACTGTCCACACTTATACCTGAAGCAGGATTTACCAGTCAATCATTTCGTAGTCTGGCTAAACCATGCGTTCGTCTCGCCATAACACCATATTGACTGGCTGAGGTTTAACCGGGCATTGCCTAGTCTGGTCTTTTAACCTAACAAAGAAGTCATACATGTGTCAGACGTCCACTCACCCATCTTCATCGGAAGTTGACAGACGTAGTGGTCTGGCTACCCAATAAGTTAGTTTACCAGGAGTGTGTGGCAAAGTAATGAAAATAATTACTCTAGGTTGGATGTACAAAAATAAAGATATCAGATGGAACAGACTCACTAACAATTGTTCTCTTTAAAATAGTTCGTCGTTGGCCCAGGTCAGCGAATAAACAATAATCCAATTATGTTGGTCCAGAGGTCTTCTTCTGAACAGTTCCCACATATAATAGAGTCCGAAGTACATGAGACTCGCGAATGACCGCTGCAAGCGCGAGCGAAATCAGAAGAGAGAGTCGAAGCACGTGACCACGCTTGTATTATGTGAAGTTGTACAAGTGCGCCTTTTTGTAGTTTTTCGTATTTGAACGAAAAACGATTATGCAATTGATGAACTACGTAGTGTTATAATGGAAGTAAAATAAAAGTACAATACACCACACCCAGAAAACTCTACCTCTCAGTGCCTACCCGAGTCTAGACATGTATCGTGTTTGCCAGTAAGTTCGTAGAATTGTGGTTCTCTTACACTGTATCTTATGAGATACTGCTAGTCCAGTCACACCCAGCGTTGTGGGCTACTAGCTCCTGAACCACACGCATCACTGAACATTTTCCGATTGTTTTTCACGAGCATCTCTGCTTCCTATTCCTCTATAAGTGATCCTGCTTCAGTTCGGATATGGCTGTCTATTCGTGCAATTCCTATTGAATATCACAATCACTGAACTGTCGCATTATGTGGAAAGTAGCTGAGCCATCAATGCAGGAATTTTGTTAAGGAATCGCTCTGCTATCCTGAATTCCCAAACAGCCCAAGGTGAATTGTGCCGTTGATTCAAAAATTGTATGTGACACCGTGATAGTTGCAGTTCCGTGACGTTTTTTGTTTATCCTTGTAAGAAGATAGGTTTTAACCGTTTAGCCTTTATAGCATCTGAGTCGATACTTATGCAGTTATTATGGAGAATATAGATGGAGATGGGAAGTATTAGTTTATATACCTTCACTACTGAACCAAATAGATTTTAGGTTCCCTGGATGAGTTGAATTAAGCCACCGCTTTATCCAAGTACATGATCTGCTAGAAGACTTCAAAACACACTCAGTCGAATATCACTATTACCACAACTTTTCGACCCTTCGTTTTTGTGGCCTATGAGGACTTCGTGGAAGGATTTTAATAATAAATAGATCCCTAATCTGGTTTATATGCACTGCAACAGCGTTTTATAGTGTTTGTTCCAGTCGCCCTTCGTCTTTGCGTAAGGTGTAGCGCTTTTTTAAATATAATCCCAGGCGGCTTACACGGTCCCTACATGCATGTGATGGGATTGTTGTTGACAAAAGTCAGTGGTACCTGAATCGTCATTCAGCGACTATGTATAAATATACAGTCGAAAATGAGGTGTTTATTGTGCAGGTCCAATTTGTACGTGACGAACTAACAATAAATGTTTTCCGAGGTTGTGGTAATAGCAGCAGCTCACTCAGTCCGGTTTAGGGGATTATTTAGCAGCTGCTGGCCATCCACCATTTCTGTTTGCTCGCTAGAAGCTGCAGTAGCAGATAACGCAGTGTATTGTATTTGGCACGTTAAACCACTTTATTCGCGATAATAGGACAGTAGAGTTGTAGGGAATGTCGTAAAAATTCAAAATTGCTTGTGATTACGGTCATATATGGCTTCTTGGAGAAACAGAAGAGAGGGACGAAGCAAAGTTAGAGCGGCGAACACGGAGTGTATCGAAACCAGCAACCATGCTGACATTTTTTAACGTGTACTTTGGGAGTCAAGCTTGTCATGATGGCCGCAGATGGGAAGGAACATTTTGAGTATAATGAAGAGTTATCATAGGAAATTCGCCCCAGTAAACACAATAAGTGAAGAGGAGAGGCTGGAAACATCCCGTGGGTTATTATTATGGCTTTGAGTTGTTAAGTTACAAGCCACACTGGGGTCTTGCTGAAGCTTCCCTTTAAGAGATTTTGTTGCAGACATTCCCTTCAGGAAGTTTGGCATAGGGTTAGCAAAGTTACTTTCGGCAGTCAACAGTGTAACTTTGTGACTGTTTTCAGGTCACTTTTTCTGCTTTTTGCTATTTATCCGTTATTCACTTTGGTCGAACCGACGACCGTGCTTACCTCCTCTTCTTGTCTAAAGAGGTACTGTGATGGTCTCTGGCTGTAGGCTTTATTCACAAGGCTAACTTCCATCAAAGACTTCTAGCTTTATTTGAGCAAGTCTTGAAGTTCAAGTCCTCCACGTTTATCTAAAATTTGGTCGAATTCCTGTACTCCACCGCCGCATAGTCAAACATTTTTCCAAAACCCCTCCTTACGGTAGACCCAGCTGATTTTGGTGCAACCAAATCTACACATTCTTCATGAAGCTATTCTGTGGTGGACGTATTTTTATGAGTTCTTGTGATTAAGCAGCTAGGCTCACGAATCTACGACATGGAATTTGAGCGCGTCTGCTATGGCAAGATACTTGTTATAGCAGGCGCTTTGTTAATAATCTATAAATTGGTGCAGTGGCTTCTGAGTTCCACATTTAAAAGTGTCGCTAAAGTTTCCATATTGTGTGTTACCGCCCCTGTCGTCATCATCATAGACCAAGCAGCATCAGCGTTTCACATCAGCTATAGTTAAATAAAAGCCTTACTCCAAAAACTAAGTAGACGATTATGCAATTTGATATCGATACGTCACATCATTGCAAGTTGCCTGCTCTCCGGACACAAGTAAAACGCCACTAACGTTGAGTGTTGATCGTTATCTTAAGAGTCTATAACCATGGATTCTTTTGTTCCAAAGCTGAGAGGCAAGCCGTATTAACAATGTCCAATCTTTTCTAGGTTAATTGTTGGCTCAATCATGTTTGTGCTACTCTACCACAAGCATTTCTGTTTCCGAAAAACGCCACAATAATGACCAAACCACCGCCAGTTTTCTAACCGCCTTGCTGCGAAATCGCTGGCAAAATACTACAGGAGCTATGGTTATGATACAGTGGCTGCCAATGACCTGAAAATACCCCCATTTCATTGGTTTCGGGGACTACATTACACAACCACTCCTGTCAGGCTTATATAGTCTCTTCTTGTTTTAATGTGAAACCCGTTTTCGTTTCAGAGAGGTTTTGTAAACAATCGGCGGATTTATTGCTGGGAAACGTTTCGCTACTGACACAAAAGCTTCGGCTGACCAAGTGAGTAAGTAAGTGGTCTGATTGGGTTTTAAGACAGTCAGGGAATCAATTCAGAGGATTTCTTATGAGTAGCCGACTTGATCAGTGCTGGGTGTTCAGTCAGATGTTTCTGTTTGTTGGTTGGTGTGGATGACTAACATTTACGATGGATTGGTTAGGGGGAGGATTTATCTTCATGATGAACCCGGATTTTTAGTCCTTGCTTTTATAGTCTAGGTTACCTTGATGGAATATTCCTCTTAAAGCCATTCACAGATTTCGTTCACCTGTGTTCGTCAAAAGGATGTCAGAACCATTGGCGGTTAATTGGATCTTGCTGGAATGGATTTTGTACTTCTAGACGCAGACCATTTCCCACGACGCAGACCGCCTCGTGTCATTTCGACCGATCTAAAACAGCCCTCTACAAGCTTGAAATTTCTACACCTTATTTCTATTTACGCTGGTGTGCTTGGCGATTCCCACCTCTTGGACCACCAGCCGCTGTGGTGTAAATCTTGAACTCCTTATCAGGATGTGAACATTTTAGAAATCTATCACATACTCAGTGTCTAGTGCATGCTCTGCCATTGCAGAATCTTTGACTATTGCCTGACGTTAATTCACGTTTCTTGGTGGTCTATTACTGGGCTGCTTATTCTCACCGATTCTGGCTGTCTTACCGATATATATATATATATAAAACGTTGGTGGCGCCATTTGACAAATTTATCCAGACAGATTCTGCAACCTTTGGTACGAAGCTAAGTTCCGTAAAGGTCTGTTCTGATTTGCTATGAGAGAGTCTATTTTTCGAATAATTTATGCTTTTATGGCAGCTACACATCAGAGTTCAACACTTTTATTCTGTGGATGATGGCATAATAAGAATTAGATAGTTCACCAACTGCAACAAGTCTAAGTTCTATTTGAATCAAGCGAGAGCTATATTCTTGAACTTTCTTGGTCTCTGGACATGCAGAAACCTCAAAGAACGCTAAAAAGCCCTGTCCTAATACAGGGCTCATCGCAATAACCATTCAGAATACAGCAAAGAAAATGACTGTACTTTTATGTCAGATGATTAAGAGTTGATTCAAACTCAATCTTATGAGATGTGGACTTCTTCAGGTTGAACAAACTCTAAAAAAAATCCAAATCGTTTTATGTACAAGCTCTGGACAAAATCTGTGAAATTTAAAGGACAAGAGCGGCAATCTATGGCTAATTTCAAGGTAAAGCTAGTATAGTGCTGGTTTATGGCGAAATATGACCAGATCCAATAAACTTAACAGATACAATTGGCTTTAAAAGTGGAAACAATGTAGATGAGTTTTTACACGCAAGTGCGCCTGGCGCACAAATCTACTCGAGAAAACGCTTCATTAGGACTTTTGCGGGAAAATGACTCGAACCCTCCATAGAGCTTACTGATCATTTGACAGTCCAGAAACACGTGTCTCCTGGTATGCAATGGGTCTCCATTAAAGATCCTTCCTTTATAACTGATCTGCAACAAAGAAACATGATGCCTAACCAATTAACCGGTGAGTACACCGATATCATTATAAGAGACCTCCACCCAGGAAACATTTCTGAATGAACAAATTTGGAATGTTGGTGTTTTGGCATCTTTTCTCCTCAAATGGGTACCACTAATTTCTGACTTGGATTTCTGAAGTGCAAGTAATCTACGGGTCAGTTTGTGATCCCATCTTCATTACGCTTGGAAGAAAACCATTGGGCAATACTTTAATTATCATTATATCTACTCACTTTGGTTAATTCGCTGGTGATTTGTCCTTAAGGCTAGTTTTCTTTTGCCGATATGATCAAAGTTGTGATATTACTGTAGTAGTAGATTGCAACCAAAAGGGTCCGGTAGGGTATAAAACCACTCGTCGTATTACAATACGAGTACTTTAGGATGAATAAGGTGTATAAAAAACAGTGCGATAACTTTTAAGATATGCAAAAAACGATAATGTTAATAAAGAGTTGCGTCCTTAAGAATTCAAAATCCAAGGATAGTGATTTAAATAATAAGGGTCCGGTAGGGTATAAAACCACTCGTCGTATTACAATACGAGTACTTTAGGATGAATAAGGTGTATAAAAAACAGTGCGATAACTTTTAAGATATGCAAAAAACGATAATGTTAATAAAGAGTTGCGTCCTTAAGAATTCAAAATCCAAGGATAGTGATTATAAATAATAATCATTCGGCAACGACAGCATTTCCGTGCACAATTAGCAATCATTTCAAGGCAAGCAATAGGGCTGGTATACTGCCTGGTTGTCCAAGTTCAGAGGGTAACAAGTGAAAGGAGAACTGTTTTTTAAAATAACTTGACCACAAAAATTTTCAGCACTCCTTATCACTGTACCGATGCTACTTTCATTCACTTACTACTGCTACTCATTGGTCCTAGACAATCCCAATCTCCCGTTTTTCTTTCGGCAAATGGAAAACTGAAGCTCTGACTGTGTATTTTGATTCTAGTGCCTTGGCGTGCTGCAACTCAGAATAGCCAGTATCCCGAAATCGATGCATTGGTCGGTGGTGTACTATATAGAGAAGAGCTTTCCGGATAAGGGTAAACTATCAACGCAGGAGGCCGTCACAACTGAGTACGACAGCATAACGTACCACTCTACCGTAGTCATTCAGGCTAATCTCCAAGACCCATGTGTCTAACCCAGTCAGTCTCAATGTTCCGGCTGGCAAGGCTAAAAGCATGTGATTACCTGAACTTCGCCTCTAATAATAAGCTTGTCTCAAACGTTGCTGATCTCGGAAAGCTGTTTTGTTTCATCACTGGACTTCAGGTGAACAGCAAGCTCACCAATCTCTCCTTTGTATCGCAAGCAAAAAGGAAGTACAGAACAGAGAGGAAGAAAGCCGAAATGGACGGGATTTTTCAGTGAATGTTTCGTCCTGAAAGTGAAGCCAATGTTTGCCGAAAAGTCGAAGAGCACGGTACAAATGTTTCCGGCATATAGAAAATTACCGGTATTCACCTCGAAGAGTTTTAGACATGTGACCACCATCCAGTTTCTCGAACCCTTAGCCATTTGATCACGAGTAGCTTTTTAGCAGTACGTTTAACTCACACTTAGCGCCATCCATGTATCACACACAGGGTCCACGTCACTGGCTATTGGGTAATTTCCATCACTAAGAAAGTTAATTCTTCCTCTGAAATACCCATAGATGATTTGTTTGACATGATGCATATGTGTGCTTAAGAGCACTTAATCGCGGCTCATACAAACATTTTCAGTAGGACCTACTGCCAGCTCTTTTCGAAGTGAGGTAAAACGCAATCAAGTCTCGGTTTCAGTACACCAACTGAAGTTTATTCTTTTTGTTCCGTATCTAGTCGATGCTACTCCTCAACCTTCTACTCATGATTGCTCCGGCTTCATTTGCTGACAATAACCAAATGACGGAAGTGGAGGATACCATCAGCTTGTTCTTTGATTGTTCAAGCTATATGCGGTTCGTAAACGTGGACGACCATCTGCAAAACACCATCGATAAAGTAAGTTTATTCAAGTCGCCAGCCTTGTTTCAGTGATCTAGTTTGGGCTGAATAACTGAACCAGACGTACTGGAAGCAAAAATTAGAAGCACAACTTGAGGATAAGACCTGTCCAAAGATATACTATGTGAAATTTGCCTTTTGCGATTTAGCTGAGTGTGAGACAAAGCCTTAAGGTACAGTGGTGCCTCTCTAGGTTAAGTGGAGCGAAAATCTAATTCGCCACTTATCACACCTGACGCAATGGCTACTTTGTCATGCCATTTCATGGGAAGCACAACCTTCAAAGGCACGAAATCTGGTGTGTATGACTTCTAAATCTAAGAAATATTATTCAGATTGGATTACACTCTATATTATCACAGAAAGCCATCAAGGATGCAAAAAATGATACAAAAATGCCAGGATGCTGTGAACAAAAAGTGGACAGGAAGCCGTTCCTTTCGTTTCGACAACAAACATAAAACAATGCCTTTTGAAAGGAAAAGATATTTTTGCAGACCGGACCAGAGAGTCTGTCTTTGTCAGGCCTCCATTGAATCAGGAACATGAAATAGTTAGCTTCTTGAATACCTCAACTTTCTCTGGCTGGGTAGCGTTTGTCTTTGATACAAGTCACTCCACGAAGTGTATCTCATTATATGTTTCCAAAAAAACCATCAGAGTGCTAGATATCGCCAGTCATCGAAATGGCTGGTTGAAAGTAATCCAGCATGAAATGGCAACTTTTACTTGCACTAGCCCTTTATAATTTAACGCCACTGGCATTTTTTCACATTTTAGCAGTTCAGCGAAGTTCTCGTACTGGGTACCCTTTTACAGTTGATTGTCTATTGTGCATCCATGGAAGGGCCGGAGTTAAGATGTTGTTGAAGAGAAAATATTATTTTGATCTTTGCACTCTAACCGCCATCTTTCCTTTGATGTCCATTAATGATATGAGGCGAGTTCATTTTGTGATTAAATGCTCCAAAAAATCTAGATAAATAGTCGGTTTGTTCTGTGTGAATTCGCTGACGTTCAAGGGGTACCTTCCCTTTGATGTCCACTAATGTTATGAGGCGAGTTCACTTTGGGATTAAATGCTCAAAAGCATCTAGATCAATAGTCAGTTTATTCCGTGTGAATTCGCTGACGTTCAAGGGGCCTACCTCATCCACTGCTAACTTTCGTTTTATTCTTGCTTCAACATATACTCCATTTCCCTCTTCAAATTAGGTGGTAGCGAAAGGCTGTGGAGAAGGTTTTCACATAACCGTTCAGGAGCTCAAGTAAGTTAGAAATCTAACAGAGGCAAAATCGCGGTGAATACTAGTTTATCTAATGAAACCACAGTTTAGAAGCAGGTGAAGATTTTGAGGCCACAGGGCTTTTGGGATATTTTCGATCGAGCCACAGACCAGTGCATGAAACTCGCTTTGATTCTACAGTGGTTTGGTGTTTTTTGGTCAATAATAGTTTATCTAGAGGTCATATTTATGTAACTCCATGAAGACTGGTAACCTGTACCCTGAGGGCTGGAAGTCAGAAACGCGTCTTTCGGGGCACCCGGATTTGTTAGGTCAAACTACTGATCACCCATCAGTAGCTTAGTCACATCATGCTACAGGTTCAGAAGTCTCAGGAAAGCAGTATGGGATGTAAAGAGTTAATGATCTCAGACAAATTGAAACGGTTGTTTATGGCTCTGTAGTTTTGGTGGATTTGCGTCCTGACTCCGGTTATTAAAAAAACCCAGAAACTAGAAGAAATTAGCGGCGTACCTTGAAGTTCTGAAAGGGTTCAGTTTCCGATGAGTGAGAGCGAGGGTTTCGGTCTGTGTTAGTTTTGTCAAAAAATGACAGCCGGATTAAGCAATTACATTCAATTGGAACGGTGATCATTGCTGTGGGTCGGATTGCTCCATAGGGTCATAGGAATAGGTGCACCTCAGCGATGTCTACCGATGATTTTTCACATACCCTTGCCGGATGTAGACTGATTGACGAGGTTTCTAAAAACCAGTATTCCTCAAGACTCTATTGATGCCCTCTGTTGTGGTCCCTCCGTACATATGGAACAAGTGCTTCAGCTTTTGAAGATATTCGAAAACAGTTCGTCTTGTGCACAAGGATCACTGCATCAAGCATCCGTCACTGAGCGACTACCTTTCAGGATCCATGCGCCTGCTTGTTCGGTATTTTTTACTCACATAATTAGTCCCCGGTTCCTGAGACGTGGACTTTTGCTCCATATTCTAACGGAGGATCTATTCAGGTGCTCGTGAAATCTGACCAAAGCCTTTCAGGGCCATACACGAAATGGCTTACCCCTAGCCCTAAGGCCATCCGCTTTCTTTGTTCCAATTTTCCAGTATCTTTGCAGACAAAATGTCTTACAATAGTATTTCGTACTTCGAAGCGAATCAGCTGAAATATGCTAAAAATTGAGCCCGTCTACTGGTGAAAGGAAGGCTCTCGCTGCGGAGTTGTTTATTATTACAGAAACACCAACTGAACAATTGCAGACTATTGGACAGGGGAGCAAAACTCCCATATGCATTTTTTTTACAAAACTGAATATCCAGCTTCTCCTTGAACGCGTCTTCCAAAACTTTCCTGGATACGTATTGACTGTAAATCAAATGCAAGCAAATGCTACAAAGCGACTCTCACTTTTCGAGAAACGCGAAGCGGGTTTACGAGAAAACACTACTCGCATGCCTCGTCAGTAGTATCCACCGTTACGTTGGTAGTCCGATGTTTGTTGTGGTTCTACCAGGTCGAATGACTGGGAGGTTTATTGCTATATTGCGTGATGATCTGTTTAGTAGAAAAACGTGGTTTTATTTTTCTGAAGGACATCCTGATTGAGAGTATTTTCTGACGGACTTTTGTAATGTTTCAAGTCACAGAATTGTCGCCAATATCTAATGTTTTCAAGCAAGTTTCAAGCAAGTAGAAATAGTGGAACATGCATTGCTGCATTCAGTATGAAAGGGATGGCTTTATGGGGAATGTTATCCCCAGGAGCTTCTGTGAACATTTGTTAGGTTGGAGTAAACTAACTCGACGATTTCTCTTTTTTTCAAGATGACCCTTCAAGCTGAATTCAAATGGCCTTAACAGTAGCATGTTGGTATTCTACAAAATATGTTGCAACCAAGTAACATTTAAGGTTACTGTGGTGACTAGGCCATTCGTGTTGGTAAGTCAGTAGACCTTAACACCACTTACCCTAATGATGGCTTTCTCCTGGAACAAGCTCTATGAACATCACAGCTTCCCATGAAGCAGCAACTTCTGAATACAGAGTCATCTGGTTTCTTGGTAGTGTGGGTCACATGAAGTTTCAGTGGGTCAGTATCCAACCCTACTCCCGAGCGCCTGAGTTCCCACTGTCCATTCGTACTACAAATGCACCACAGGGAGTTCTAAGATTTCAAAGTATTCATATTCACACCACTCTCTTTCGAACGGTTGTCCTCATGTTCTGACGTAATTATTCTGATGAGTTCACACCAAAGGGCACTACTGAACTCGAGATTCACTCACATTAAGGCTCTTCAGCAGTGCATACTGAATGGCCTCGCCGGGATTCGAACCATGGACATCTGATATGCGAGGCAAGTGTGTTAACACTGCTCCACCAATGCACGTTAGAAGCACCCGGATTTTCACGTCTGAACAGGCAAACGTGTTCACGCCTGAGCGATGTGATTGGTTTGCCCGATCCATTGAAACTTGTTTTTCTTTTTTACAAAACCTGTACAACATGTGTAATCGGTGTCGGAAGCCGTAGAACATCATATAACGCCATGAGTAAGAGTGAAAACGTTCTTCAAACATACTACGAGTGCACATGAGTACAGTATGAGCGCTAGCACTGTACATCGGGGCTTCATTATGCAACTGATTTATAGGATTCTCCATTAGGAGATGCACGGCAGAAAGCCCTCCTATTACTGTTCACTAATAGCCCTTGAGCCACTTCTGAAAGTCTAATGCTTCTCTTATTAGTTCAACAAGCTAGAGTACGCACTGTATCAAGTTTACCGAGAATCATATCTGACCACATTTTGTGCAAAATAGTGCAAATTTCTCATCTATATTCTCTGTGACCTTCCCTGGAAATTTTGTGCTCCCAGTCGAAATCATGGGGAAGTTCTTGACCGGCGATACTTTTTCCTCCTAAACTAGAATTAAGGTACAACTAGCAACGGGAAATTGGAACAGTGTGCATTTTTTCACGTGATTCGAATGAGTCGCTCAGTATGTGATCAGAAACTAATAAAATGCGGCAAGACTACGGTCTTAGTGACAAACACTTTGCCATTGCTCTTCCATGGGGTGTCGTTTATGCCTAGCTGAAGAATGGTTCTGTTGAATACACCGAAGTTGCGGTTGCACTGTAGATCCATCAGTTGAGCGGCAATGGATTCCTTCGTCTTTTATAACTTAGCGGTATTCCGATAACTTGACAGCTCAACCAGAGGAACGTTTCACCATAAACCTACTACTTACATTTTACGAGTATGTCTGATTCGGGTACAAACCAAGTCTCATGCGTACGTACGGTTTCGCACTGGTTCATCAGGTATGTTCCTCGGGAAAAGTTGAGAGAGATGCAGGACAAATCAACCAGCATCTGAATCGAAACAGGTATTTTGCTGGAACCATGCACGTGCCTGTTTCAAATTGCTTCTGGCGCCTCCCATCCACATCAATGGGATTCGAATTTGAGTAAAACCAGGAATTAGCTAAGAGGCACTGTGGAAAATTCCCTCCTTTTTGATGATTTACTAAGATTTGCTAAAGCCATATCCATGACACTTTCGGTTGCGAGGATCGGCTTGAGCATCTTCCACGTGGATTGCTATGCCCGGCAAATTACGCGCAATATTAGGAGAAAAAGATGGTTAGTTTTGGGAACAGCTGCACATTTAACCATTTGCTTGTTAACATCAGGAACTATGTTATGCCAGTCTGCAGTTTTGAGTCATCTGTTGATTGGCCAATCACGCTGAAAGCTAGCAACGAATTGGGCAGGCTTTTATCAGCAGGACTGAAGGTAGCGTTCAAAATCCGTCGATTGTGATTGGGCTTTTTCTATATCAAAAGAGTGGCTGTATTCTGAGGTCGCTGAAGTCCGTACTATGAATAATGAATAAACTCTTCTTGGTAAAATAGCTAGACGATGACTGTCTGACAAAAATTTTCAATCACTTGAGTGTTTGATCGTACAGATGGGTTTAACAATATGTACGGTCGCAGCTTTGGCCACTCTAATAAACTTGCAGTCACGTTTTCAATAACACGTCCTATTTGACTTTGGTGTTTGCATTAAAAAAACACAAACAAATACTTCAAATATAGCTCTGGTTTACCGTCTTTCAGTTTTGTTGGGACTTCGTGCGATATTACCTACAAATTTGAACCGGAGAAGCTGCTGTTTCTTTCCAAATGTGCTGCGGTTGTACGCGAGATTCTGGAGAACGGGACATTTCTTGCCTGGGGCCATCAGTGGGGTGAGTGCTGTTCCTCTCACAATCCCAATATTTTCAGTAGTATGCGTCTTCCCAGTGAGGCCAATCTACGTTGAAAAGCCTAGGGGCGATGTACAAAAAAGGTGAGGACGGATCATCGAAATCGAATACCATGCTGCACACAGAGCATACTGTTGGTAGTATGAGGAGAATGGGAAATTTTCGGTGGATAATTCGTTCTAAGTGAAGCCAATCTATGCTGAAAAGGATGAAGGATGAGCGGTACTATATCCTGTCCAAGTGCGACATTGCTGATCAGCCGCTCGTGGCCGAACGGTTAAGTGTTCTACTCACACTGCGAACAATCTATAAGTAGCTCAGTGGAAGAATCAACTTCACCCGCTGAGTGAAACTTCCATCTGAGAAGTGGTTGCTCGAGGAACCAGTCAACACGTGGGACCGCGTGATGTAGATCCCATGATTGAAGGATGAGCGACGCTATATCCTGTCTAAGAGCGAGTTAATCACACTGTTGATCAGCCACTCGTGGCCGAACGGCTAAGTCTTCAAACGACTAACCAGGAGATCGCGGGTTCGAGACTTCGGAGTTTCGTGAGATGCGCACTGCTGTTTTATCCTTGTTGGGAATAACCTGCAGTGCGAATTGATCCCGGCTAGTAGTCGGAATGGCAAGCCGTTTAGCACGAGCGACTGATCAGCAGCGTGGTTATCTCTAATTCATAAAGGACAAATCGCTACCCATCAAGCAGTCAAGGAAACCACATCACATGGTCACGTATTAACTGGATTTTTGAAAAGCGGCTTCTCAGAGGTTTCGCTCATCTTGTGAAATAACTCTTCCTTAGAGCTACTTATAGATTGATAGTAATATGAAAACAGGTAGTAATTTTCTGTAGAGATTTCATCTTGTCGGTGAAGCCAAGCATCGTTGGTTCATTCGTTGAGACATCTTTTATTGACGAAATCCCTTACAATGGCCAGTCTGAGAGATAAATCACTTAGCCACTCGATTGAGAGGTCTCTGCAGAAAGAAAAAATGCTATCATTCCTGAATGTCATCGAAAAGCCTTGCAAATTACAGGCGAAAGTAGGCTGGAATTCGTTGCGGTCTGTGTCCACAACACCCAAGCTGATGTTTGACTGATTGCCATCATGTTCTTTTGTCTCACTGCTAAGTGCGCCACAGAAACACGGGTATTATCACAAAAAAAACACTTTGATGTTAACCAAAATTAGCAAGCAGTTATCTCCCTAATTTATGTCTTGACAGAAGACACGACTGCACAGACAGTTGAAGGGTGACCAAAGTAGATCGAAATGGTAATCCACGGTCCTAGTTACCCGATCACCTTTACTCTTGATAGTGGTGGATAGATTGACTTATGGATGATAGAAAAGCCAGCCATCGTCAATAAATAAAGAACCAAGAGAGCAAATATTTCCCCATTATGAGTGAAACTTCCTTCTGAGGAGTCATCACAGGAGAAGCCAGTCAATACATGACCATTTGTGGTTTCCTGTGCTGAAGGATGAATGGCGCTATGTCCTGTCCAAGTGAGGACCAAACACGCTGCTATACGGTCACTCTTGGTCAGATGGTTAAATGCTGATAATTCCCAACAAGGACGAAACAGCTGTACAATGAAGCATAGATTTGCTTCACTGAAATGACAAAATCTCTGTTTCTATTCTGTCCGACAGTACTTTCTGATAAGCATAACTGACAGATTCCTCCAGTCTTTGATGCGACTTTTTTTGAGGTTGCGAAATGTCCCCTCAAATAGAGTATGAGCTGGATGAAGGTGAGGAAACTAATGCAGCGGCAATGAAATGTCCACTCTCTTGAGGATTCAAGCGAATATTTTGCTTTGATGAAGCTAAATAATCAGTTAGTATGTTTACTTATCTGTTCAGATAGATGCAACTGCAGCGGCTTAGTCGATCAAGAGACGAGGTGCTGATCGATCACCGTCATACATCGATAGATCTTAAGTTTATTTGCAGAGGTAGAGAGCAGAGCAGTGAAAACACTTAATACTTCGCGATGATATTGTTTACTTTGGCGAAAGCCAATCTTTGGGGAGATGTTGCCTAGTAACAAAACAGCCGGTTACATCTTCGGGTTTAAATGCGATGGAGACTGTTAAAACAGAAAAAACGCCGAGCAAAATTTCCGGAAGAATACACGCAATTTTGAGATGTGGAATATATTGTTTTTTACGTCTTCCTGAGACTCCTGTTTCCGGTACTATGATACGTTTTATGGCACGAACAGAGAAGTCCTTCCAGGTTATCGCACTCTGTTAAAGGCCGGGAAAAAGCCAGTCGGACATGTTATCACCCTCATCAGAAACTACCATCATGGAAAACTTAGGCTTTAGGCTTTTAGGCTGTTAACCCGGATGACACCGACTAACACTTGTCAATAACTGCATCCAAGAATCCAGTTGCTGAATTTCACTTCTGTTTTTGTTCATTGAAACCGTCGAAAAACGCCACTCCTTGTCACGAAGGACTTTACTTTGGTTTTGGGTTGTGATTCGTAATGTGGGAATGGAAGCTTCCTCGGTTAGACATCATAGTACACATCTACGATAGGTTCTCACTCCAATCTACTGTGAAACTGCGAACCGATTATTCCATAGCTATCCAATAAAGCGAGTCGACAAACACTGGTACAGTATGTACAGCCATAACTTCGCGACCATTAGTTGAAGCATGTCCTCATTACGTCGTTTAAAAACAGGTTGCCGAAGCATACCTTTGGAAATTGCCGTGACACCGTACTACCCGATACACGTCCCGACAACGAATATGCGAAACATGGGCGTGGAGAAACTTTACAGCACGCAATGTCGTTTACCAATTCTACAAATAGACAGACAGGTTGATGTGGTTTGGTAAGTGCAGTTTTTGTGATATTCGAGTAAAAACTGGTAGCCTTAGACGTCGCGTTTCATGACCTAGAGTTTTTCTTACCGTGGGTGATTCGAAATAATACGAGCCGGAAAGATCATTTTCATAGGTTGAACTGCCGATCCAGAAGGAAGAATCCAAAAGGTTTGAGATGATTTAAGCCTACCTAACTGTCTCTAACGGATATCAGAATCTCCGGTTCATATAACGTCAGCTCTGCGGATCCATGATAACTCATTTTATAAACGTCTAACCACGATGTTTGTTTAGATGGGACTGAAGTCAGTGGTTAGAAGAAAATGATGTCTGTCGCCTTGTGCTGATCTGTTGCTGAACACATGTTGTTCCTCGCATTTTGTGGAACAAAACCTCGCTTAGTTCATCTTACCTCTTCGTGAACATGAACCGGAAGAAGGTAGCTAGATAAATTAAACATTTTATTGTAAGCTGGCATTCAATCTTGTTCACTAGGCGTATGTTTCGGTCGCTTCGTAAACGTGCTGAATTTGATCAGGTCTACAGTTCATTCGTTTGTGTTCCTCGAATGTTCTATTCACCTTATTTGTTCGCTTACAAGTGCCATCTCCTACAATGGTTTTCGTTCGCTCACTTCCCCCTGGTTCGAGCACTTTCAGTTTCAATTACACACGTATTATTCTAGTTAGGTCATTCTGAGTAAGCTCTATGAAGGGGTTATCTAATGTCATCCTTGTTTCCAGTGTTAGTACCAGGTTCGCTTTTTTTGGATAACTACCCGTGACCAGATGGTAAATATCTACAGCATAAACAGTACCATATCATATTAAATTTGGGCGATTTCAGCGGTGAATCGATCAGATCCGATGAGATCACTTGTGTTTCGACGCATCGCCGTCTGACCTTCTAGGCGTTACCTGTCGATGGCCCGTCAACCAGACTTCTATGCTGCAGTGAATCTCACATATCTGACCGCTGTTTCAACTTCAGTGCCTGATGCCAGAAAAGAACTTACAGACAAGGGTAGACAACAGCTTTATTGCAACAAGCGACTGTGTGCGAGAGCAAAAGTTACAACAACCCCACGCTATCTAAAGGGCATTTTTGACATTGATCCATGCTGTCTGATAGGCGTCTAGTGAACACCCATCAACATCGATCGTGACTCTGTGAAATGCCTGAACGCTGCTCACATTCGGTCGTGCTTCTTTGGCGTGCGTGAACACTCACCGGCTTTTGCTGAATCGATTGAAAGATCGACTAGCCTAGATGCTTGTCGACTTCCTTAGTGGTATTTTGGTGGAGTTTTGCGGTCTCATTAGATTCCGGGCGTTCTGAGGTTACTTGTAGGAAGCTGACCTTCCTGATACTAACCCCACGATGAGTCCACTCAGAGATATCAAGGAATTGTGCCGCGACAGACAAAGAACATGCAGAAAATCCACTGAAATAACAATTTTGCCGCTCATTTTGAGTAGAGCATTCAGCAGATATTTCTCGAAAATAAGAGTCCGATGCACCACTGTAAAATAACCCAAAGATTAAACTTCCTTGAACCTGCTACAAAAGAAACTATGCAGGCCCAGTTTTACACGAGTTCACAGAATCAGCCTAAAACAGGGTGCACAAAGGGTGTCTGGGTCGAAACGCGCATCCTAGTCTACTTATTCTGCCGTAGCAGAATAATTCCAAGGAATGTGTGTCCTTTGTGTCAAAGGCAAAACCATACGTTCGTTTGAAAAAGGACAGCATCCCAAGTGGAGTCAACTGATAACTGAAGTGTACTAAGGGTTTAGCATTCTCTGTCGAGGCTTTGCTATGCATAGCAAAAATCACACGCATATCGTCAACCCCTGAAAAATTACGCACGCCTGACCTTCACTAAAGTAACAGAGGAAGGTATATTCCTGTGTAGGAATATGTAAAGTTAGAACACAAAGTGTAAGGTCATGCTTGAGGACGTGCAGTCACTGAACACACCACTTACAATCCAGGGAGAGGTACTGGAAGTTGTGGAGCGTTTTACGTACCTTGGAAGTTGTATTAGTTCTGATTGCAGTGTGACAGATGAGGTGAATGCACGAATCTGCAAGGC